TAAGTTTATTACTATACTTTGTATATTAGTAATTTACGTACCGTACTACTAAGGTAAACTTTTAAAATTTTTTAAAAAATTTTTAAATTATAGGTACGTTAGTATTGTACTATGTCTTTATTATATATATATATATATATATATATATATCTGGCAGCTTTGGCTGAAATTTTGGTATTGATGTTGGTTGTTATTTGTCTATTTCTTCTTAAATGTTAATGTAAAATTGTGATTTGGTGTGGTCACGACGGCCCAAATTAATGTATATTTAGAACTGTAGTATATTTGGGCTGTAAGCTGAATCTTTCTTGTCTGACTTATCTCACGAGAAATTTTCGAAATTTTGCTTACTCCTTCTACTACGTTATATTTTCAAAATGTGCACTAATACCCACCGTTAAACACTACCTTAGGTGTGTCAACTCACTACATATTGTTGCCTGTCTAGGCTCTTTCTGTTTTTTCATTGGTTTGGTAAGCCTTGGTGAATACCAAACTGGCCTTGCGAGGTTGCTAACAGTTATATAGGAATATAAGCTGTCAATATGTGTATTTGTCTGAGTGTCTGTCTCAGCTAACCGAGCTTGCGAGAGTTCATAGGCCCTTTTAAAATTAGTTACAGATGATAATTGAAAAGTTCTGTGCGTGGCTAAAAGAAATGTTATATAGTTATAAATAAATGTGATATAACATTGCAATAAGACTGGTAATAATTTAAGTTACATCATTCTTTGCTGAGTCAACACAAATTTCCAGTAAGAAGAGAGTATAATAGCATTTCAACTGTACCTTTTGTTTACTCCTTATATTACATTATATTTTCAAGATGTATACTAATACCTACCAGCAAACACTACCTTGGGTTTATGTCACCTCACCAATATTGTTTGTTGCCAGTCTAGGTTGTGCCTGTCTTCCCAAGTTGCGTTCTTATTTATAATTATTATAACGCTTTGTTTCATTAATTGACTATTCTTGCTGTTAACAATACGTGTTACGTATAGGTTCTGAATAAAACATTGGTGAAATAGTGTGAGATTTAATATTTCTTCTAAAAGGTGCTCAGGTGGTCCGTTTCTCAGGTGAAAGGTATGCAACAGACGAGGCATAGCTGAATTACTATTGAACACTCTTCTTTCTGGATACCTACGCTGAGACAATAAAGAATGATGTGATTTTATTTACATTATTATCAGGCTTATTGTGATCTTATATCCCACACACACACACCCTACTGCTAAATGTAATTCTCCATCAGCTAAAACGATCTACACCCTAAGTGTTGTATATAGTTTACTTTAGATGTATGTAGACACGTAAATATTAAACTTTTTCATCAAGTGTTTTATTTTCTATGTTTTTATTGACTTCTACTTCTATTTGTTTTGAATTTTTCTTTCATTTGTTATTTTATTCTTTAATAAATAAGCCTATTTTACAATATGTTTCAATCTCGTTTTGCTTATTTGTTTAATTTCGTGCAAAGCTACTCGAGGGCTGCTTATGCTGCTATCCATTCCTAATTTTGAGACGATACACAAGAGGGAAGGCAGAGTTAACACTGCCTACCGCCAACTCTCGGGCTATTCTTTACCAACGAATAGTGGGATTGACCATCACATTATAATGCACCAACGACTGAAACGGTGAGCATTTTGGTAACGGAACTTGCTTTCACAACCCACAGATTGTGAGTCGTGTGCTTAACCATCTGGTAACCTAGCTTGGATATTTCCAGATGCAGTCATATAAATTAACTTCTAATCAAAGCAAGCTACATACATAAATCAGAACTAAAAATCAACCCAGTAATCAGCATAGCTCATCTAACATAAATACTACGTTCCTATTTATAAATGATTAGAATGCTTTTTTTTTCATTCGTTTGGTACCATTTCTGTTAGCAATATTTTCGACTCATTACTGACCATATCTCGCGAGTCTCGTGTTATTGCGGTACTCAGCTCGGATTAGTTGATTGGATACAATATAAACATATTCTTAGACCTTCAAATAAAATCTTACAAACAATATATTATGTTTATATTTTTTTCCAGTTGCATGACATAAGAACATGAACTCGTCCATGTGACATCAAAGCGTCAACATTCTTAATGATAAACACTATTGCAAATGTAAAATATTTGAACAAAATATTCGTCTAAACGAAACTTCGGCATCCTTTCCTCTGTGTTTGGAAAAAAAAAAGCTATCAAGTGCCAACTACATGTCCGTCACTGAAGCCTATTTGTGAGAAGTTATTATCAAGTGCCAACTACATATCCGTCACTGAAGCCTATTTGTGAGAAGTTATTATCAAGTGTCAATTACATGTCCGTCACTGAAGCTTATTTGTGAGAAGTTATTATCAAGTGCCAACTACATGTCCGTCACTGAAGCCTATTTGTGAGAAGTCATTAGAAAATATCTTATAGTATAGATTACATTTTCCACAACAGATCGGTCTATGATAGAATTACACTAATGTTCTCTAGTGTTTTTAGAATAAGAGCTTTTTGTATTTTTTAACATTTTTGCAGTTTTTGATTTGTTATTTTCATTTATTATGCAAACATTATATATATATATATTAACAATGATATTCACACTGTCCCTATCTACTATCTAACGAAACCACAGCCAAACGGCTTGGAGAAATCATGTTTTAGTTATTTTGTTCATATGCATCTTCACATAAAAACCGTTCTCTTTCTTTACTCCCATACTTAGTATGCGTACTTATGTTCAGAGCACTGACTTTTTTTTTAATTTTAGTTTTACTTCTACGACTTTAGTTGGTTGAGATTTCCATTACATATTACACTTCATCCATAGTGAAACTGGTTAAACACTACATCTTCTGAAAAACTCATTTACTCTCTGCTCTTCGGTTCTTGTTTTCCAATTTTATATTAAATATTTGTTTTCACATAATCATTGCTTATTTGAATTTTTCAAGGTATATACAAAATGTTACGGAAATTGTCTTTTCACCAATTTTACGATCGTTCACTTCTACCAAGCTGTACTGTAAAAGTAAAGGCTTTGAAGTAACACACAGAGAGAAAGTTTTAAGAACAGACATCCATCCCTTGGTTCTTCAAAGCCCATTCTTCTATCACATGGAACACATCAGAGTAGCCTGTACTCGTTGAATGACCCGCACTAAGTAGTAGAATCATGCACTGTAGCGCCACCTTTATAAACTACCGCATTCCAGAACACGACAGGTCTATTAAATGAATGGGTGGGTTAAAAGTCTGTCAAATGGAGTTCCATGTGGAGTCTTGAATTATGCATGTTCTAGAGGCCTTACGAACAGTACCACGAGGTACCAGACTTAGTAAACTTGAAAAACTTGTTCTACCAGAGAGTTGTTGGCTGGCCTCCTATTCTCTTGAGAAGGGTACCGTTATATGTGGCGCCTTCGGTATGCAGAGGCGACCTTTCTCCCCTGTCACTTCAGCACTCATAACTTGATCGTACATTCTAGTTTGTATTTTCCAGTTGCACTTCAGAACTTCAAAGATGAAACAGACTTATCCGATATGAAATACCTCAGAAAGTTGCTTTACCAAGCATTATAATAGTTATTTGAATCAAGTTGGTAGAGTATTTAATGAACAATTCCCAGTAAATGAATATTTTTCAATATCACAATGTTTTACTTTTACAGCATCGTCAGTTGCAATTCCGAATTACCGATGAAGCTGTGAAAGTGAAAGGTTGAGCCTTAAAAACAAACAAAAAAAACGTTTTCGTGTATGTTTCTATTGTGTAAATAAAACTAGTAGTAGTGTTCGCGGGCATCTTGCAGGCTTTATTTTTATATTTGAACATTTGTATGTTTGCGTTTGTTGTTTTACTAGAGTGGAATGTTCAGGTCACGTGATGAGCATGTGACTTCATAAATAGAAAACGACTCTACAAACAGGCAGGAGCAATCTATTAAGATTCAAAACTCTACCATCTCTACAAACAGGCATAAACAGTCCATTAAGATTCAAAAATCTACCATATTTACAAATAGGCAGAAACAGTCCATTAAGATTCAAAACTCTATCATCTCTTCAAACAGGTAGGAACAATCTATTAAGATTCAAACTCTATCATCTCTACAAACAGGCAGAAACAGTCCATTAAAATTCAAAACTCTATCATCTCTACAAACAGGTAGGAACAATTTATTAAGATTCAAACTCTATCATCTCTACAAACAGGCAGAAACAGTCCATTAAGATTCAAAACTCTACCATCTCTACAAACAGGCATAAACAGTCCATTAAGAGATAGAGCTCTGGGTTTTGGAATTTGCGAGATTAGACTGAATCCGTGCAATACCGCAAAATATTCCTTGCACTTCAAGCTGTATGTACATTATAAGAATGACAACCAATCCCTTAGAATTTTCTTGAAAATTAAGAAAGATTTAGGGGATATATAATGCGAGTTAGGCGAGACTAGATTAGAGTGGCTTATTCCTTTGTGACTTTTACTGTGGGTGGTTTTTATTATTGGATTACCGAGGTTTGTTACTTTAGTTTTTACTTCACTAATGTCCTTGAATCAAAGGTATTTTAAGCAGTATAGACATAGTAGAGTTTTGAATTTTAATGGACTGTTTCAGCCTGTTTGTAAATATGGTAGAGTTTTGGAACAGAGCCAAACCGCGCCCTGTTACGAATAAAAGAAATAATGAGCAAATGTTAGACAGATATTACAATAAAGCGAACACTCAGTTAGCGTCATCAAATTAGTTATCAAACTGTCTTTGCTCTTTGAGTTACTTGTTGTTGTTTTTAAAAAGTCGTAACTTCTAGTTTTTTGGCTTCCCGTTAACTTTTGTAGATTTTTCCCACTCACGGAAATCATAAACTCCGCTGTTTCTGAGGGATAAATAAATAACACACCTACATTTTTGACGAAAAGTTAATAAAGTTTCAGCTTATGTTTTCTGAGTTTGTTAATTTTGTTTATTTCACAAATAACATTTGATTAACTGAAACGCATCTTGTAAAGTAATTACTTTTTTTCGTTTGATTATTTTAAACAAAATATATATGTCTTGTTATCCAGAAGTGGAAAAAGTGCACTAAGACTAAAAGACCAAGCTTCGTGATTTGCGATACACAACCACGCTCACGATACGTAAACAGCAAACATGATTATTTTTTGCGCCTCTCTTGTGATGTTTACCACCCATAGATACAAAATGGATTGCGCCTATTGGCTGTGAGTGTTAGAGAAGCATTTGGCTTAAGAAGTCTGATTCTCTGGTCACACGGAAGAGAGCTGTGTTAGAGAACAGGTGGGTTAAATGCGTGTTAAGCACGTACAAACTATATATTACGACAACATATATTTAAGCTTTAATGTCTATGCTCTTTTAGCCTAGGGGATCTTACTAACCTACAAATTCACGTCTGGTGCAGTAGTTGCGGCAATTATTGCTGCAGGAAATGGTGAACAGGAAAAAAACGGCACTGACGGCGCCTGTCTATCGTAGTGAATACATGCTTTGAGCCAATAATATAGATGGAAGCCCAACCAAGCAGCAAAGGATCTTATGTATATAGCTAATAAAAAACAACAAATAAATAAAAGTTTACTACCACTCCTGTTATTAGCGGGAAATTCTGAGGACGTAATAATTTCAGGTACCGATTTGTGCAAACAGTATCTTACATGCACGGCCCCATGTCGTGGAGTAGCTTCCCCAGGGTAGAGGTGGCACAACCACAAACTTCATCTGGTTCAATTAAAGGTAGGTGTAGTAGTATAAATAAAGCTGTATAGATACTAGAAATTAGGCTGTTTTGTTTTTCGCATCAGGAGCAAGAACTTTGTAAAACGTAAGGTGAATGTTGAAAATGAAAATATATATATTTATAAATATTTATTCCGTTTACTAATTGTTATTCAATATGAAACAATCAGAGTCATTCGGTGGGATTGAATACAAACTGTCATTTGTTATTTCATTACTTCAATATACACGTCGTCATTAAAAGTCAAATTTTGAATGTTTTTGAAATGGCGTAATCAAGCCATCACTACATTGTTTTTTTGTAATATTACACAATGTGTAGATGTTTTCGTCATAAGTTCTTAGGTGTTAGAATTACTAATGTTGTTTTCTCCCGTTCACGCCGTGGCTGCTGACCCGTTCCGGAAACAAGGAGATTAGCTTCCTGTTCTTTCACTAGCTGTAGTTTAATTTAACTGAATCATCGTAGTAACGTTAATTCAAATTTAAATAATTAATAAATAAGTGACGTTAAAAATAACTCATTATATGCTATTGATCCTTACCATTATTCTGATTTGTAAATTACTTTAATGTTGATAACAATTACGTTTCTGTTACTTAATCTAATTCACATCATATTATAGCAATGGATATAAATAGATCTTAGAGCTATATTACTATTAGACCACTGTCGTATTTTGGTCGGCTTGATGTTGGACAAAAGTCCTCATTGGCACTAAATTATAATAAATAAAGCAAATATAGTGTGGTTGATTACCGAAGTATCTTCTTTACTCTCACTACCAAGCTCTTAAAATTTATAATAACTTGAACGAAAACAGCGTGAAGTTTCGTTGAAGTCTAAGAATATGCACAGGGCATGCAAGTTTGGCACTTTACATGATGTAATGTTTTTATTTAGTTTCATGCGTTATTTTTAACCTTACATTTTCTTCATTATTCTTATCATTATCAAAACTCGTAGATTATGTCTTATACTATTCAATAAATGACAAGCATCATTTGATTAGTTTTGTGCCTGTTTTAAAAGTTTCTTTTATTCGTTTGTTACGCATCTAACTTGATCATGTGTTACTTAATTTGTAGACTTGAGATTATCATGTATTACAGCTCGTTTAATATTGGAGAAGGATAAGAAAGATTGACCCAACTTGGAAAGTATTTAAATAGAATCGAAGAGAGTAAAAAGATGGTTTTAATTTTCCTCGAATAGTTGGAAATTTCATGAATTTGGTGAATTAATAAAAGACATTATTTCATTCAGTTAATCAAAACTTTAAAATATTTCATTTCTGTATCTTTGAAATATATCACTTTCACTTTGGAAGATGTAGTGACACTTGAAGGTTGATGGTTAGTGTTCATTAGTGTAGTGGCACTTGCGGGTCGGTGGTTAGTGTTAATTAGTGTAGTGGCACCCCCCAGTGGCACAGCGTTATGTCTGCGGACTTACAACGCTAGAATCCGGGTTTCGATACCCGTGGTGGGCAGAGCACAGATAGCCCATTGTGTAGCTTTGTGCTTAATTACAAACAAACCTAGTGTAGTGGCACTTGAAGGTTGATGGTTAGTGTTAATTAGTGTAGTGGCACTTGCGGGTCGGTGGTTAGTGTTAATTAGTGTAGTGGCACTTGCGGGTCGGTAGTTAGTGTTAATTAGGGCATTTTAGAACTATTTATTTTGGTTTGACTAGTTTTTAAGTTTAAAACTACCTATTTTTTTATATATATAGAGCTTTAGTGATAAACGTATCACTGCTTTACTGACTACCTGTTTTCGAGATACTCAGATATATGATTCAAGATTTGTTTCTTAAGAATTTCAGAATTTAGTAATTCATGAACTTTTAAGTGTCGTCTTGATTGAAAATGAAAATAGTACAGAACTGTTTACAAATATTGATATGATATAAATTATTGACAACATCGTCAATATTCACCTTTGATGTAAATATTGACATGATATACATTATTGACAACATCGTCAATATTCACCTTTGATGTAAATATTGACATGATATACATTATTGACAACATCGTCAATATTCACCTTTGATTTAAATATTGACATGATATACGTTATTGACAACATCGTCAATATTCACCTTTGATGTAAATATTGACATGATATACATTATTGACAACATCGTCAATATTCACCTTTGATGTAAATATTGACATGATATACATTATGGACAACATCGTCAATATTCACTTAGATGTAAGTATTGACATGATATACATTATTGACAATATCGTCAACATGATGTAAATATTGACATGAAATACATGTGCAATAACCATTTACATGTGATTAAAAAACGGAAGGTAGTTTGTAGTTAAATTGTAAATGCATAACGACAAAAACTACTTTTAATTTTGCTCTCACAGTAGTGTTAAACTCTATTAAATACCATGTTTTCGTCCTCGTGAACAAACGTTTTTTTTTTTATGGCTTGAAAATTGTCCCAACCTGGCCGTACGGGTAGTGTGGACTTGTTCACAAATTACCAGCTACGACTTCTTCGAGCATTGTAAACGACGTAGAAACAAAACAAAATGTATCGTGCAACGTAACCGTCGTGAAATGCATTGCTGTAGCCGTACCGTTACCTGTCCGAACTGGTGTTAGTAGTTTGGTAAATAGGAAATTGTTTTCATTCTTGACCCGACGATAACTGTTCAGCTCACTGTGACACATATCGATTAGCACGTTTCACCGGTTTTATATAAAAAAAAAACTGGCCCAGAATTTCTTAATTACTGTAATTAGATTATTTAGACATGAGCATACAAAGGACTGCTTTAGCTAAGTCCAATTTTTTATTTGTTGGTGTGAAAAAACATATTTTTTTTGTATATTTATGGGTGTGGGTGTTTTTTTTAAAGCAGCATGCTCTCGAGAACAAATAGTTTTTTCTATTGCATTTCATTTGTAGAAAGAGTGAGAGGCAGGTCACAGCGAAACAAATGTTGGCTGCGTTCGTTCTGTACCAAACAGTCACCACTTTCAAGAGCATCCTGTCACAAGCACGAGAAGATTGTGCGATTTTTTGTATTATAAACAAAACTGGGTTCAACTGCTGTAAAGAAATTATGCTGAATAATCAGATCTTAAGTTGAAAAATTAGTATATTGTTCCATGGTGAAACTCAAATTTATATAAAACGACCATGTTCTGTTATTTTGTGATTTAAAGTGAGTGTATGAAATATCTTTATTACATATCATAGGAGAGATTTATAGTGTGACAGTGGACAAGCTACTTATGTGACTGCTGCGATACAAGTAGTGAAGAGGTTATGGTGGTTAACTATTATGATATATATTGGACTAGTTATGGAAGATTATTATGATACCGGAGGTTATGACAGATGAATGCATTATGTTAGTAGAGAGGTTATGGTGAATAATTTGTATTTTGATGATGGAGAGGTTATGGTGGATAACTTTTGTATTTTGATGAGGGAGAGGTTATGGTAGATAACTTTTGTATTTTGATGAGGGAGACGTTATGGTGGATAACGTTTGTATTTTGATGATGGAGAGGTTATGGTGGATAACTTTTGTATTTTGATGATGGAGAGGTTATGATAGATAACTTTTGTATTTTGATGATGGAGAGGTTATGGTGGATAACTTTTGTATTTTGATGAGGAAGAGGTTATGGTGGATAACTTTTGTATTTTGATGATGGAGACGTTATGGTGGATAACTTTTGTATTTTGATGAGGGAGACGTTATGGTGGATGAGTTATATTGTGATGATGGATAAGTTATGGTGGATAACTTTTGTATTTTGATGAGGGAGACGTTATGGTGGATGAGTTATATTGTGATGATGGATAAGTTATGGTGGATAACTTTTGTATTTTGATGAGGGAGACGTTATGGTGGATTAGTTATATTGTGATGATGGAGAGGTTATGGTGGATAACTTTTTTATTTAATGAGGGAGACGTTATGGTGGATAACTTTTGTATTTTGATGATGGAGAGATTATGGTGGATAACGTTTGTATTTTGATGATGGAGAGGTTATGGTGGATAACTTTTGTATTTTGATGAGGGAGACGTTATGGTGGATGAGTTATATTGTGATGCTAGAGAGGTTATGGGGATGACTGTATAAAAAAGAGTTTAAGAGCATATATTTAAACCAGTTTTTGGTTTTGCCTCGAAAATTGAATGATGTTTTGACATTTTCAGAGGTTAGACCATTGTGAACAACTATTTTCATGTTCGTGAGCGTGTGTGTGTGTGTCGGGTTTTATGTAAAGATTATGGGCATTATGTTTTAAGACTATTAGATACTGGAAAACAAGAGGATGTTATAGGAAAGGTTGTGTTAGAGAAAGCATTACAACAGAGTGACTTGAAAGTCAATATTGTGATAGTTGTTGACACTGTTTTTTTTTTTTTCGTTTGGAGTTAGGATACGTTAAGCTCTCCATATTTAGACCTTATAATAGCAACGTAAGACAATTTTTTACCTTCAGAGAACTAGGTGTTTTGTGTGGAATTGCTCCCTTAGAACGTCACTAAAAATAGCCTTGCGGGTCCAGCCCTCCAACCTGCTGTGAGGAGGAACTGCTTCGGGTTCGTTATCTTGTGCTGAGGAAAAGGTTGCATTTTCTGTTGGTTCCCCACACGCCCAAGTCTTCTACTTCGGAGCTTTGTCTAACTTTGCCCACAAAATATATTGACCTAACACAATACAAGTCGATTCCAGGAACAATGTGTTGACATAAGTTGACTCCATGTATTCATTTAACACAAGCCGATTCCAGGAAAACTATGTTGACCTAACACAATACAAATCATTTCCAAAAACAATGTGTTCATCACACAACGATGCTTTTTTTATATATTTCAACAAAGAATAATCTGCTACCAGTCAGTGACCTGTGATTAATTAGCTGACCAAAAAAAAAGTAAAGCAATCTGCTTGCGTCCTATACACCGAAGGTATGAATAATATATATGTATATATACG